AGTCCCAGCCTCGTCTGTCCACAAGCCAGGTATGAGCTCAGTTCCCTTGAACTGACCACGGAATGGTTCTGGACCATTACATTATGCCACATATGTAGCTCCGTGTTACAGTATATACAGTGTTGCCATACCAGGTCACAGGCCTTGTACTAGCTTAATAATAACAGATCTAACAGCTTGTCAGGCCTTGACTTCTCTGATTATAGCTCATCGTCTGTCCACAAGCCAGGTATGAGCTCAGTTCCCTTGAACTGACCACGGAATGGTTCTGGACCATTACATTATGCCACATATGTAGCTCCGTGTTACAGTATATACAGTGTTGCCATACCAGGTCACAGGCCTTGTACTAGCTTAATAATAACAGATCTAACAGCTTGTCAGGCCTTGACTTCTCTGATTATAGCTCAGTTTATCTGGCCACATTTCCCTTGGCCCTAATCTTTGTAGCACTTACCACATTCACAGCATCAAAGAGGCGCTCAGGGGGTACAAGCTGGGCTATGAAGGGGCACTTCTGCAGCAGCATAACTGACTTCAGCCCCTCTGCCGTGCAGTCCGCCACAATCCAGCCACAGTCTCGGGTACTGAAGGGGAAGCCACCCTGGAAAGAGGTCAGGAGGGCTCAACACCTTCCCCCTGTCCTGTTCTGGTTTTGCAAAGGGGGAGGTGCCGCCCCTCATTCCCATCCCCTCTGCCCAAATTCCTGCCCCATTCGTGAATCTTCAAAGACCAGTTCCAGCCATTGTACCTTGTTCATATGGCGATAATATTTCTGGTAGTCAGGTGGGTTCTCCGGGATCTGCAGAAGACAAGAAACAAATAAGGGCAGGCTGGAGGTGCCCAACTGCAGGATACTGTGGACTGAAAACATCACAGATGCAGAACCATGTAGGACTGGGCACCACCTGTCTTTTACTGAGGGAGGCACACAGGAAAAGAAAGAGGACAGCTCTGGAGCAGGGAGTGCTGAAGAGAAATCATATTTTGGCCTGGTTTCAGCAAGTGTTGCTGAAGTCTTCCCTTTGGGTACTTTTCTGACAGGGAGCCATTTGCTTTCGATGCTCCTATTGGCAGCATCATAAGCAAGACCTATGCTACTTCTGCAGCAAGCTGATGCTGATGGTGATACCCCACCTTGAGCCACTGGCCTGTCCAAAAAGAGCTGAGCTCATGCAGTCACTAGCCAAGGAGTCTGGGTTTACCAGAAGGTTGCTTCATATCTGTGGGCACCAGACTGGACAAAGAGTGAAGAAGCCTCTCAGTTTTCCAGCCTCTCTTACCCCAGGCAGCCAACCCAAACACCCCTGGGTATGCATCCAAGCTGCAAAGATGGCTCCCAACAACAGGGTGCAGAAAACAGGAGGTTGTCCCTAGGACTTGACTAGTCCAGCCCTTTAGAAGACCTCTTCAGAAAGCAACAGACACATCCAGCATGGCTCTGAGAAGGAGCCAAGTCTGCATAGCCAGCATGTGAGAAACGCCACCAACATGCTCCACTCACCTGGGTGAACCTGAGGAACTCATAGGCATTTTGGAGGCAGGATGTGAATTCAGGCATCTTCTGGGCATCTGCCTAGAAACAGACATGCCACAGTCAGCAAGGAGTTGTGACCACTGAACGTGCCCCTCAAGAAGAAGAGGATGCACCAGGCCCTTCCTGCTAATCAGCAGGTCCTGGCCCTTCATACAGCCCTTTCTGTGGCTTTGCATTCATACTTTGTTTACAGTTTCCATTAAACTTCCGCAGTGAGAGCTGAACCAACAGCTGTTGCCAGCATCAGTCTGAGATATTTGTATGACCAGGTTAGGGGTTTACCAGGGCAATCACACCCCTCTCCAAAAAGCACGCACACCATAGCTGTTCCACCCCAGTGCAGAAATGCAGGAGACCTGCACACTGTCCCTGCCAAATGGCAATGCTCTGCTGCCGAGCGCAGCACTGAGGGAGTCATTACCTCCAAGAAGGCTTGGATGGCAAAGGCAGTATCCCAGAGCTGGGATCCATTTGTGCCCTGGAAGAAAGTACACAGTGAGGGTCAGGTGCTGGTGGCAGCCTAACCCAGCTGCGGGACCTATGGGATAGCATATCCCTCCTGCATTACCCCACTAACTCCCTCCACCCTCTGTCTCAATTTTGTCACTACTGTTGTGCTGGCATAGAGGGGACAGATGCAGCAGCTCAGGGACAGCAACGGAATAGGAAATGAGACAGCTGCTGCAGCCTGCTCTGTGCACAGCCAAGACAGAAGAGGTGGCTCACGATGAGAAGCAGAGGGACACAACAGCCCTGAGAGAAGCACAGACCAGTCCACAGAGAGTGGCCTGTCTTTCTCCTTCCCTTTTCCCAGGACCCATGGGGATGAAGAGGATGGAGGCCTAGAGCTACCCCCTCAGCTCACAGCCACAGAGAGGCAAACTAGCAAGATGGACACTGGCACAGCAAGGAAAAGTGGCAGTGAGACAGACAAGGCCACCAGGCACCAAAGGCAAGATGCCAGGAGCTCAGGCATTGGTTGAACAAGCTATCCACGGCATATCCCTATTCCACGGGCTGCCCCAGCACACCAGGGTCCCTCACAGTCACAGCTAAGCTCCTACAGCACTCCACCTGCATCTTCATGCCGTCGAGGCCCAGCCTGTGGGAGGAGAGAGCACGGTGCTGCAGCGCAGGCACAGCAAGAGTGCCAGGAAGCAGGTCAGGAGCCACGGTGTGCTCACTCCACAGGGATCAAAGCCCTGTCATGTGCTAGGTGGGCCATGCACAGCCCTTACCAGAGATAGTCAGGGATCCTGGAAATATGCTCCTGAAAAGCTGGGGAGTTCTTCCCATCCACAAACCAGCAAACCAGCATGTTGAGCGTTTTGGAAATCTGTTGAAAGCAGCACTGTCACTGCTCTGGATATAGCTTCTTCCAGCTCCAGAGACATATATCCCTCCCACCCAGCAAAAAGCCATCTAGAGGTGGTCCTGGGCTTGATCCCAACAGCTCCATCTGCGGCATTACTCAGCACAGCCGAGTCAGTGGGGCAGGTGCCATGAGATTACTCCAGAGCTGCCCCTCAGAGCACAAACAAGGAGAGGTACACCTCAGCAGGGCAACAGCTATCCCTGTGTCCTCTGCATCTTCTGTGCCCTGCTAGCATTAAGCTCTTGAGCATTAGGAGCCGCAGGAGTTGTGCCTGAGCAAGACCTGGTGATTACAGTTACATGACACAATTGCAAAGGGCAGGGGAGGCCACAAGCTGGTCCCTAAAGAGCAAAGGGCAAGATTTGCAAAGGACTGTCAGTAAGTGTCCTACCGGCCCAATGCTGATGCACCTGGTGAATCTGTCGTCAGCTTTGATGTGGTCATACAGCTCTGCGACGGCTCGCTGCCGTAGGCCAGTGCTGTGGTGGGCTTCGTACACGTTCATGACAGCTACAGGAGAATAAAGGGCCATGCAATGAAAAAACACCCCATGCAGCCAGATTCACTTGCTGTGGCAGCCTGTACCACTGCTCACATGATGACCAGTTGAGGAAAGCATGGGAACTGCTCTGCTCCAGAGTGGCTCATGGACTGGGGCACGAGGCCCTGCTTCTCTCAAGGAGGGAGAAGCCAAATCAACAGTTTGTGTCCCCATACCAGCTCCAGGGCGTACAGTGGTAGCTGGCAGTAGATCCTAAAGAGCCCACATAGAGTACCATCTTCACGGAGTAGGCATCTTCAGTTCCACCACCACTGGCTCACATGGCAAGGCTCCTCCTGTCCCATCCAACACCACACTTACCATAGGCAACCCCCAGCAGCCAGCTGTGTGGGGTGTACACATCACAGGCAGCCACATTGTTCCTCTGCGCTGGCCAGTCTATGCTGGTGTAGTCTTGCACATACAGCTCCTGGAACAAGATAACAAAGGGCATCAGCCTGGCAAGCTGGGAGCAAGCACCCAGGGACAGCTCACTGCTGGAAGTTGTCTCCGCCACCTGGACTGAGAGAGACTGTGTGGGTATGAGAGCTGTCGCTTTGCAAGCCAGAGAGACTGGCCCACAACAACATGGCTGGCACAGCAGGTGGTCAGGGAGCCACGTGTCCTTGCTGGGGAGCCCCACCAGGGTCAGCTCCTTACCTGCCGCAAGCTCCGTATAAGCTCGTCCTCTTCCGCTGACAGACGCCTGGCGTAGCAGTAGCTCATGGGGAGGTAGACCTGGCGGCAGTGACACCAGAGCCGGGACGGGTGGGCTGGGAACCACGTAGGAAGCAGCCTGTTTGTGACAGAGAAGGTGCTACTGTGATGAACAAGCAGGGCCGAGGGCAGCATGGAGACACAGCGTGCTGAGGCGGGATGACCAAGGCGTGCCTTTCCCTATCCCTGTACCAGGCCTGCTGCCGGTACAGCTGCAGGAGAACGGAAGGGAATAACTGCACAGCCTGGACCAGCTCAGATCCTCCCCAACAGCACTGCTCCCCCCACACCATGGCCAGCAGACACCGCTTCTCACCCAGCTGACACAGGGCAGGGAGGATCCCGAGCCCAGAGAGGAGAGGACAGAAGTCAGTTCTGGGGCCCCTCTGTCCCCCATGTGACTTTCAAGGCAGAGGCTCAGACTTAGAGTTGAGTGCATTTGATGACAAAGCACCAGCAGCCCTTGGTACTGTGTGGCTCCTGATTTCCCCCAGGGAAAATGTCACACATTCTCCCTCTCTGACACCCACTGGCCCTCTGAATAATCTGAGAGGGTACAAAGGAGGGTTAGAGCTGGCAGGCTTACATGTGGCTGTCCTATCTTGCTAGTGCCCAGTTCTGGCTGGCCACAAGAGCAGCTTCTACTGGTGGCAGGCAGGGAGCACATGGATGTATCAGAGACCCTGCGGGTAAAGCTAACAGGGCTGAGCTCTGGCATCCCCCTTCAGCACAGCGTTCAATGCTATCCACCCACTGACTGGTCTTGCTGCTGGTCTCCCAGATGACAAGCAGGCTGAGCACCCCTTCTTCCAGGCCATAGCTGGAGTTATCCCAGCAAACAGCAGCACCAGGGACAGCTCTGGGTCCCACACAGCTGGTGGCAGGACTGACAACACCCCCTACTTCTACATCAAGGGTGGCACATACCACATCTCTGGGAGAAGCGTGTTCATTCCCTCCCAGCTGTAAACATTCAAGACAGCCAGCCAGAACTTCCCCCAGGAAGGGATTCCCACAGCACCTCCTGCAGAGAGCAATATCAGCTTTCAGGGTTAGTACAACCATGCTGGCTCCCTGCTTTCTTTCCCGTCGCAGGGTCCACTTCTTCCCATGTTTGGGAGCATGCCACTGAGGCTGGGACACGTGTCCTGAAAAGCGCAAGCAGGAAATGGTACAAAAACATAAGACACTTCCCATCATTAATGGAAGGTGCAGGCATCGCCAAGAGCAAGCAAGAGCAACAGTTCCTCCACTACCTGGCAGTCCCCCATGCTCCATGCAGCCCTCGGGTCTGACCAGACCTCTCTCACCAGTGTACCAGTCCTGCAGCTGCTGTGCTGGGCACAACGAAGCTGACCTTTGCTGTGCAAGTTGACACGGGCCCGTACAATGTCAGGGTCATCTGGTCCGAGCCCCAGGATCCTTAGGGCTACATAGTTCAGTGCTGTGCCAAACACGGTCGATTTGTCTTCCACATGTCTGTCACACACATACACAGAGAGAGTGCAGCCATTAGCCAGCCATTAGCATTAGCCAGACACAGCTCACCGCAGAAGGCTGGCTTTTGACACAGCTCACTGCAGAAGGCTGGCTTTTTGAGGTCGAGTGGGATGTCAGAAGTGGCTGTGGAAAAGGGGAGACCCAACAAACCCAGGGAGGAACATTGCTCTGCACTACCCAGTCACACATGATGTTTTGGGATACAGGCCCACAGAGGAGATGCAGCCGGACTTGATGCTCCAGCCATCTCTGTGACAAAGGTGCTCCTGGAGCGCTACAGAAGCAAGTCCAGCCACTCAGAGGTATCACAGTTGTCAAGTCCCGCTCCCCAGGACCGGGCAGATTTGACAGCAGCTCCAAGTGATGGATCTCAGAGGTGCCACTACTAAAAGAAGCATCTTCATTACTCACAAGCCCCAGCCTCCATCTGGGAGCTGCACAGAGCGAAGATAGCGTGCCATCTCTTTCCGAAACCCCTCCGGCAGCTGGATCTTGCAAGTGTAGCAAGTGATGAGGAGACCTGGAGATCACACGGGCCAGCACTTAGACGAAGCTGAACGTGACAGGTTCACCCCTCTTAGGCGAGGCATCCCGCCAGGCCTACCTGGCA